TGAGATTAATGGGGCGAATATAGGGCTAAACCGGACACAGGCGTAGAACAGGCGTAGAACAGGCGTAGAACAGCGTAGAACAGGCGTAGTTTGGGAGTAAGCTATCAAGCAACTAATATTTCCTGAAAATTATTGTCATCCAAGGCTTTCAAGATCGGTGGGCAGCTGCCGGCACAAGGCTAGGCAATACTAATAATAATAATAATAATAATAATAATAATAACAATTGGTGCGCTTGGTACAGTGAAGAAGGGTATGGTAGAAAACATCAAGAAAGTATCAGAGAGAGCTACTATGAAAGAGATTCAAAAGATCTGCATGCTGGGATCTGCGCGAATCCTCAGAAAGGTGCTCAGTGTATGAAAAGAATGATTGATTTGAGTGACTGACGCTCTAGGTGCATGGTTTGCGCCCGGCTGATGCACAAAAAGAACACCAACAAAGACTGCGATAAAAGAGATCATAATAATAATAATAATAATAATAATAATAATAATAATAATAAATACAGAGACATTTTTCGATCTAGAGGATTATCAATTAGAGCACATCTCTTTTTATACCACTAAGCCCTCTAAGAAAAGGTCTTCAAAACTGAACATACAAGGCTGCCACATTTGTCTATATTTTGTAAGTACAACGATTTAGATGGGTACCAGAAACATTGGTCGACACAGTTTTTGATCTAGAATATTGAGCACGTGTCTGATTTTACCAGCCCTCTAAGTAAGAAAGCTCAAAAGTAAACATAACTGCCGCATTTGCATGTCTCATCCTCCGCGTAACCTAGCTGCTCACTGACTTCGCGCCCATGGAAATTTCATAGACAATTTATGCGACCGTGATCAAGATATTATATCTCTCTAAGTGTTCACGTTTACAGACATTGCAATTCACAAGGAAAATCATGTGGACATCTTACCTAGATTTTACTAACCTTTATGGAGTCTGTGAATGATTCTAAAAGTTTTCAAGTGCATATGATTTTAAGGTCAAAATACTTAGCGCGTCGGATTCTCCTGTCATTTTGTGAAGTTTCAAATTTTCACATAGAATTCTTTTAGGCGGGTTTACTGCTACTTCGCATTTCAACGATTTAAGACCATTTAATTCTGGACAATTTTTCGTGCAAATTGTCTTGCAGATTGGTTGAGACAAGAATTGCAAAGAATGTTACCCACTGGAACACCTCTCAGGGGTCGTCGTTTTTGTTTAAGCAAGTCTAGGAGCATTGCACTTAAAGAAGACTAAAGTTCTAATTCTCTCATTGATTTCTGCATCAGCGAAACGGCACGATACATGCTCAGGAAGTTTATACTTGGCAATTTCTTGTGCAACTCGCAACGGCGGAACAAAATTATGGAACAAATCACGAAAAAAAATGCATCGTGTAACAGGGCTTACTAAGGTGGCCCTATATGTGTTTCTAAGTACGTATAGGAAAAAGAGTCTACCCAAACTTGACATAGAGCGCTAGAACAAATTTTGTGTATGAGGAAAAGCATTAAACCTAAGTGCATGCAAAAACGACTCGTAGAAAGAAAAAAAAAGCAGAGAAAAAAATAAAGTTAACAAAACAAAACGAAACAAAAACAAAAAAACAAAACCTGCGAAGAATGATGTATTAAAAGAGATTTTATTCATTTTAAAAATCTTTGAGCCACACACTCGTTTCTGGCGATGGTTCAATCATTTCCGCTTTATATGCATAACTTAAATTTCTAAAACTTCCAGCGAAGGTTAGACCGAGAATACTCCAGAAGACTGTGTGGTTGACCTCAACATCCAAATTGTATGGTCCAAATTCCCGTCTTCATAAAGCTTTCAGTTTTCGTTGCTTTTTCCACCAATGCGAAGGCTGCAGGCGGCCCACATTGATTTCCTGGGGTCCTTGAAGCTGATATTAAACAAAAATGAAAAGAAAAAAATAAATAAAGAAAAAAGAAAAGAAAAGAAAAGAAAAACGATACTGATTTTTTTTTTTTTAACACAACCGATTGTTGTGGGGGGATAGGGGTTAGATTTAGCCAAGTCCAAAAGCGCAGCTCTCGTGGGATCTTATAAGAAATGTCTTTCTAAAGGACCTGAGCCTGCGATCACTTGAAACACTTGAAAACAATCTGGTCAGCGGACAGCGTTAAAAAACGTCACCTCAATGAAGTGTTTGCCTCAGCCGTCATGTGACTCTAGTCAGCAGATACCCTATTTCAGCAGATGTCAACTGACCGTAACATGGATAGAACAATGAAAAAACAATGAATCTTTATTTGTCTACAATCACAATAAATAAATTACAAATACAGACTACCTGCAAAATAGCAGAGCTAATCGAGGCAGGTAGTATGGAGACGTGTCTGTTACATTCTAATGACATAAAGATACCGTTGGTAATCCACAGTTTTGACATTTCTTTCATTTTTAGGGGTGACGAATGGTCTTTGCGAGCATGCGAGCACTGCGATTTTTTTGCGAGCACGAGCAGAGATAAAAAATTTCTTTTGCGAGCAGTAGGCAGTTTAGCCTGCGCGCAGACGAAATTAAACTCTGGTTAACTCCGTCTGCGAAACAGCGCCGAAATCCTTGTTCTGGACTTCCAGCTGTGTATCCAGATTTGAGTACGCGCCACGATTGGCCAGTTAAAAAAGGCCTTTGTTTTGTTTGTCGTGATCGCCAATCAGGTTGAAGTGTTTAGTTATCGTCTGCACGCAGGCTACAGGCAGTTTAGAGAGTACAACTCGCGAGCAGCGAGCACTTCTTATATAGGAACAAGATCCTTGTGTCAGAACAGCCTCTTCTGCGGGAAGAATCCTAAAGCTTCCAAACAGTTTTTATCGAAAACACGGCCTAATTAAAGCTCAGTGAGTAGAGCGGTAGAGAAACTCAGAAGAACTCAAGGTAACAATATCTTCTCTTTGTAACCATATATAGCTAGATTAGGTAATTTATTATTTATCGTTGTCACTTATCGCGCGCATTTCCACTGAACTTGATAGCTATATTTATAGAAATTAAGCACCATACAGAATTACATTTACTTTAAACCAAAGAAGGATTTACAAAATGTCGAGCAATACTGACAAGAAAGCAAGCATGTGAGCAACTGCAAAAATTTGGGGAGCACGAGCAAGCGAGCACTCGTTTAAATTTTGCAGCAAATCGAACAAAGGTAAAATTTTACGAGCAGTTAAAAATTTTCATGGACCATTCATCACCCCTATATATTTTTCGTTTAGAAATAGTTTTAAAAGGGCGTGTTTATTTACAACTTTATTTAGCGTAGTATAGAGCACAGAGCATAACTTGTCAACATTAGGTTTTCTCTCAGAAATTAAAGTCTACCAATCAATCTTTAACAAATCATGTAAAAACATTTCCTCTGAAAAGTGCGAGTCAATCACGAATAGAGCATTTCACGTTTTTACCAATTACTGTAAGAGAGCGCACAATGCAATATTCTGGATAACCGTCCCACTCGCAAAAAGTTTTTTCTACCAGCTTTCCCAAGCGTACGATTTTCGGAGGTTTTGTTTTTGATATTTTATTACATTATATCGCGATTTAAATTTTTACAAATAGCTCTCGTAGATTTGTTTTTCTTTTTTTTTTTTTTGAAGAAAGTTCGGCTACTCCACAACCTTGAACTTACGACCGGACCCATCAGAGTAGCTTAAAGCTTCGGATTAGACGAGAGGGCCACCTGAAACTTTCGCGACGACCAAAGTTCTCCTCAATATCGTTCGCTGGGTCCTCTTCTACTCGAGTAAGAGAGGACCCTGGGAACGAAGTTGACTTCCCCTAAGACTTGCGAACAGAGAAATAATTTTTATGCCCCATGCTTGTTATCCCAATCATTAACTAATAGTTAGGCCAAGTACATTGCTGTGGCTAAGCTCTGTTTGCTGTAACGAGATGCACTACACAACACTAAAATATGCCATATTTTGGCCACCTGAGTGGCCGTTTATTCTTTAACAAGTTTCCAGAAAATACAAGGCAGAAACTAATTATCCAATTACAGCAAACGTGAGGGCAAAAACCGCCCGCAAAAAGAAAGTTGACAACTTCTTTCCTCCAGAATTAGGGAGGGAGTGGGAGGGGAAAAAACCTTTGCACATGGCGGTGTGAAGACAAAGTGGCTTGTAACCTGGCCTGCTTCAACTTATATATCACCCTGAACATCACGTCCCGGATGTAACCACTATTCACATGATCTAAACTTAAACTCTGCCCCGGATAACTAAGCAGGACGCATAAGAACATTTACTCCCTCTCCTGGAGTAAATCTCCTTTATGCCCCACGCTTGTTCTCCCAATCATTAACTAATAGTTAGGCCAAGTACATTGCTGTGGCTAAGCTCTGTTTGCTGTAATGAGGTGCACTACACAACACTAAAATATGCCATATTTTGGCCACCTGAGTGGCCGTTTATTCTTTAACAAGATTTCCAGAAAATACAAGGCAGAAACTAATTATCCAATTACAGCAAAGGTGAGGGCAAAAACCGCCAAAGCCCTGGTCGAACGTGAGAGACATGGCAGCCCCACCCGAAGCCACATAAATGTACTCGGCCCGTACCTGTAATATTAACGAGGAGACAAACTGTAACTAATAGTATACTAGAACACCCTTGTGGCCCTTGCACACTTGTTTGGGTGATGTAAAGAAATTAACTCTACACTGTACTACCACGTCGCCCATGCAAACGTGGTAGAAGGTAAAAAAGTAACTTATACTTATCTGCACTATGTCAGCCACTGGTCAATTGGCCCATGCACAATTGCTCAGTGCTGATTCTTAGAAAATTTTAGGCGTCTTAAACACTACACTGTACTTGAATGCAGTGTAGAAAGGGTGGCCCCTGAACAACCCTTTCTCACCACCTAAGAACTGGGTACAAAAATTTAGAGTTAGAACCCTGGCCTATGTTGTTGAAGGGAAGGCCCCTGCACAACCCTTCCAACCTATGGCTACAATGGGCACACGGCAACATATTCCACAGTCATGTGGACAGCGAAGGTATTCTGATATATCGTAAGAAAGCGTTAGAATTCCACCGGCCAAAACTTCTGATCTGGGCATCCGAGAAGCCCTTTGCTGCTGCCCATGAGGCTGCTCCGATTCTGAAACTATGAGACTTATATTTGGAGACATCCAGATTGCAGAAATTAAGAGCTGCAGTTAGTGCAGATGTGAAAAACGAACGAGAAATAGGGGAAGCGTCAGGCCAGCAAAAAAGTGGGCCTGGGAAATTGCCCCGAAGATTCAAATATGCTAGCAGCAATGATACAGGACAGACAGGCTGCTCTCTGTAAAGAAAAAGATCTACGGGCTTTGAAGTATCGCTGTGCTTGTAATTTCTCAGGGTTAACTTAATAGCACTAATTGATCCCTCCCTAGTTTCCATGAATGTAATTTGATTCAAAAGGATTAAATTGCCCTGGGACTGATGAGCGCGGTATGTCAATTCCCCAACCCTCAATGCTGCAAAAAAGGCAAAGGCATACATTGCTTGAGTCATCTTTCTGTAATATAATGCAGACTGCGTGTGATCACTAGCCGCTATAATGTTCTCCAGTATTGGCAGTGAAATTGGTAAACGCACATCGAATGATGGGTTGAGCTTACTGTACCTCCTAAGCGCTATTTGTATCATGTCTGCCTTTGTTGGATCTGATAGGGAGGCTAAGCGATGCGGATAGCTCAAGGCCGAGATGTAAGTCAAGACAGTAGAGGCTGCATATTTCTGTTCCGCTAGAAAGGCACTGAAGAGTGCTAAAGTGTTTATCGAGAGAGGAAAAACTGGGCCTAGATATCCCAGCCTATCTTGCTGAAATTGGTATAAGAGCTGCCACGGGCGCTGGTATGTACGCACCGAAGACGAACTTAAACTTGCTTCTAACAATTGCTTTAACCTACTTCCCAATTCTCTGGAAGCAGATGCGCCGGAATCTGTGTTGGAGATGTTTGCATACCTGTACCCCTCGATATGGTTTTGAATTTGCCCACCTGCAAACGAGACAAGCTGTCAGCCATTTCATTCTTAACTCCGGGAATATGACGCGCTTTGAATAAGATGTTGTTTTGCAAACACACCAGTACTAATTTGCGCAAAAGACCCAACAACATTGCATCTTTGGGCGTTTGTTTGTTGATGACATGCACTAAGCTTTCGTTATCGGTCATGAAAAGAACCCGTTTGTTTCGTAATTCCGGACACCACATACTAAGCCCAATTACAATAGGAAAGAATTCGAGAAAGCAAATGTTATATCTCTTCCATTTCTCCGGCCATGTGCCATATGCCCATTGATCACCGAAAAGTATACCGAAGCCACTGCTCTGAGCAGCATCTGTGTATAATCTTAAGCTATGAGATGAAGACCAGTCTTCCTGTAGAAAAAGGGACCTACCATTAAAGGACTCCAAAAAGCATTCCCAGATTTGTAAATCCTTTTTGGTTTGTTGGGTGAGGCGAATATAATGATGAGGGCGTTTAACACCGATTGTTAAATTAATCAGGCGACGGAGAAATGCTCTCCCTGGAACAACTACTGAACATGCAAAGTTGAGCAAGCCCATCAATGACCGTAACTCTCTCAGGGTAACTTTCCGTCTGCCTTTCATGTTGCCAATAGTCGCCCTTGCTTTGACTACTTAGCCTCAAATCTCTCACAATCTAGTTCTATTCCCGCGAATGTTAAAACTTCAAAAGGACCAACCGTTTTTTCAGGAGCCATTGGAACCCCTATAGTGTTGCAGAAGTCCAAAAACCTTTGAAGATTAGCACTGCAGGCTGCACGAGATTTTTCGACGATAAGAAAATCATCCAAGATATGGATTATGTTTGGAATCTTCAGTTTTGTTTGTGCTACCCATTCCATTGCTGTGCTAAGTCTTTCAAGGTTTTGCATGAACTTGCACACCCCATAGGTAAACAACAATCTACATAATATTTCCCTTTCCAGTATAACCCCAACAAATGATAATCCGCAGCGTGTACAGGAATTATCCGAAAAGCACTTGTAACATCAGTCTTAGCCATAGCACATCCTTTACCTAAACGCCTAATAATTTGAACTGCATTATCAACTGTGGCATAAGTAACCGAACAAAACTCTTGAGGGATAAAATCATTCACCGAACCCCCTTGTGGAAATGACAGATTATGAATCATCCTGAATTCGCCCGGTTGCTTCTTGGGGATAACCCCTAGAGGAGAAACTCTCAGGTTGTCTAAGGGAGGCTGATCAAAAGGCCCTATTATTCTTCCTGCATGTATTTCCTTAGCTAATTTATTGTCCACTATTTCTGGGTTGTTTATTGCTGAAACTAAGTTGCCTGAAAAATGACCAGTAACAGGCCCTTGAAAATGTAACTGAAAACCTTCCGTAAAGCCTTTTTGCAGGCTCTCGTTCAAATGGGTAGGGTAACCTTGCAAGAAAAACAATAAGCTATTGACTTTGACTGGTGTTGGAAGTGCTCCAGGGGTGGGGAATGCTGAACTTTGTTGGGTTTGGCCCCGCTGTAGATTTTGAGGGTTGCCTGCACTTGGTAATAGCGTGCTGTTGTCCACAGCGGAAACATTGGTGCAGGTAGGAACATCCGTTGCACGAAATACCCTTGTGGAATTTCCAGCAATAGCCCCGGGGTACAAACGGGAAGTTGCCCTAGGCTTTCCTGAGGTTGTTGTTGTCTTGGCCCGAAAGGAATGGGCACGTAGCCATAATTCGGAATGAATCTGATCCCAGGGTGCACCTTGGTTTTCCCGCAACCTTCTAAAATGTTCATCATAAAAGTGCCAATTGGCCCCCTGGGTTGCTAACTCCTTGACCACTGATGCATATTTCATCAGGGCTGGCGTATCATGAGGTGCCTTTTCCGAATATGTGGCTACAAAGACTTGGAATGCTGATTGCCACTGGTCAATGGTTTGCAGTGACTGTTTCTTTTGGTTGGGGGCAATTACTATGGAGGGTTGTCCCCCATTGCTTCTTTCTATCTTAAACACAAACTCATCTTCTGCTTTACTCACAGTGTTATTTAGCAGGACAGTGAAATCTACATATTTGTTTGCCCATATTTGGGCTTTGACTTTTTGGGGCACTCTTTGCCCCAGTGGTATCGCAGCGGACAAGAAAGAGTTCTTACTTGTACGGGGTGTGTCCGTGGGCGGCACTGTCCCTGTCAACTGCTTAACTGCCTCCTCTACTGATCTGGTGACCGTGGAATGTGTATTTTCTTCAACTTGGCTCCGAGACACTGACCGGGAGATTTCCAGCCCTGAACTTGAAGCAGGGGCAGGAGCTGGCACAGGGTCTGGGACAAACAGTATTTGGGGTTCTGATGAAGAGCTGCTGGTAGGCATGTGGGGTTCTGATGAAGAGCTGCTGGTAGGCACGGAGCCAATGTCCTGTATGGCCTTGACTACTGCAGTGGCAATAGTGGTACTCAATGAAGCTAAGTGGTCTTGAGACAATGCTGATAGATTGGGCATTGCTGCTGATGGCTGTAGCCTGGTGGGATGAATAGGCTGGGTAACTGACGGACCCGGAGCTGCTAGGCCAGGTACTGCTTGTGCTTCTGAACCAGGCAGAGTAGCTCGGTTTTCCATTCTTCGTCTCTTTGGTGGCATGATTGGGTCGGACTGAAAATGGAGAAAAAATGTAACAAATCTAAGACCTAGCAAGAAACACAAGTCTTGGATAGTCCCCAAACATTGAGCACCCCCGATAGAAGTCATAGTGGGTGGCTCAAACAGTTAGCACCAGAATTGACAAAGGTGGCTCACAAGTCAAAAGAAATAATGCAACACACGGTGGCTTGAACAGTTAGCACCACACAAAACACGGTGGCTTGAACAGTTAGCATCACAAAAAACCGGGTGGCGAAAACAGTTAACACCCCTGAACGAATGACATGGTGACTTGAACAGTTAGCACCAAAATGAACGAATGACATGGTGACTTAAGCAGTTAGCACCCAAAAAAAAAAGGGGGGGAAAGGTGGCTGAAACAGTTAACATCCCCCGAAATACAACTTACACAGCCCTAAACTCTCCCCAAACTCTCCTTCGGTGACACGCGTATCGAGAGTAATCTGCGTCGCCCGTTGGATTGGCTACACTGCTAAAACCCTTGAAAAATTCATAGTAATACTAGTCACCATAACCACAACGCTCGCAATAATAACTAGTAACACGTATGTCATTGCTACCCATAAAGCGCGAACAGCTCTGCTGTTGCGTTTAACATGGGGGCGGTGCTGAAAGGGAATCGTAACCTGAACTTACTACGTCCCTTGCCGTTTGATAACGAAACAACACCGAGAATGCGCCTTAGAACACTGAAAGTCCTTTTTCAATGTCTATACGGCATAGATTTGGCCATAGGAAGGGTTCTGTGACTGCATAAACTTTGCCTTCGCACCTCTACATTCAACGCACGTGGTCATGTGCGACTCGGATCATACCGAAGTCGACGCCAAAGCACAAAAACAAAACCATCAACATTTCAACATACTTAACTTGTATAGAGGAAAAATAACCGTTCTTGAGAAGATCTGTCGTCCCGTTGCGGCTGGTTAGCGTAATACTGCCCGACGATCTTCCACACACAGGTTTCCCAAGCTGACGTTACGAGTGTGTTATGTCAAGAGCGGAAGGGGCTTGGTTATGTATATTTTCTCACAAGAGAGTAGGTGTCGTGTTACAAGCTACTGTTCAGACGGGAAATATAATGTACTGAGGTCTGCGAACGGTAAATATCATATTATTTTTACTTTTTAGTCTCGTTTGCGTAAGCAGCGAGACTCATAATCTGCAACGCGTTTTTCTTCGTATTTATGACACAAAAGGTGAGTAATAGTGCCAGGCATTCCCAGCGGAGACGGTGGAAATTGGGACTAATGATCGGTGCTTGATCGAAACGATTTTCTAACGCTTCAAAGCTTTGATTGCTTCGGAACAAGTGAACACTACTGAGTGGACGAAAAACAATCAGAATCTTAATTAGCAAAACTGCGATGGTCGGGTGTTGTAAACTTTGATTGTATGCAAATGGTCTTATGATGCGATGACTGAAATCAGGGGCACCCAACGTCAATTTTCGGAAAACATCTTTTTTTCTGGCTGAAATTTTCGAAAAGGTAAGTTTTGATCCCTATAATTTTCGGATCACTAGCCGAGTTTCACACTAGGAAATCCGAACAGATGAAAAATCTTTAGGGGATAAAAATATGCTTATATCTACCGTTTAAATACTAAAATACGCTTAACAATGCTATGTTTAAGTGGTTTTGAACTATATTCTCGTTGGCTACCCGTGATTGAAATGACGTGCCACGTAAATCACTTTTTTCCTCTGGCAATGATATAAATTCTCCGGAAACGGCCCTTAAATTTTCGTGTATTTATACACGTGTATAGCCTGCGACAGCAGACGTATTTCCGGTCGTCACTAGCAAGCGTACTAAATCAATTCAGAAACAAATAAAAAGTATCGACATCGATAAAGTAGGAAGTAAAAAAAAAAAAAAAAAACATCTAGCGAGTAAATCCTGTTTTGTGTAGAATTAATAGCCTCTTCACTTCTCGATCTAATCTGCAAGCAAGCGTAAGAGCGCCGGTTCTTGTTTTCGGCTAAAAAATAATTTTGATGCATTCCTTTGTTTTTTTTTGGTGTGAAATCATCGATACCGTATTTATTCGATTAACCGCCCTGGGTGCTTATTAAATTTTTGGACCTTGAGGGTGGGCGCTTATTTGAGGTGGGCGCATATTCGAAGCTGGGCGCTTATTAAATTTTCACCGTTCTCGGCAAGTGCAGTAAGTATATTTTGCAACAAAACAGTAAACTGAAGTGAAGTATATGAAATAATTCTTCTTTGAACTGCGGTTGTAGTAAACTGTAATAACAAAAAGCAAAGATGTAACAAAGCAAGGTTTCTGTAAAATACTCTGAAGAAAACTCCGTCTTCAATACG